TAGTAACTGACTCTGAGTTTAGATTACCTCTCTTTGTGAAACGGGTTTAACTTACCCCGCTTTCACGGGTTTAAGTTACCTCCGTTTCTGAAACCGAAAACTCCGAGTTTCCCTCATTTCGGGGTTAACAAACTCTGAGTTTCGACAAAACTGCCTTCTTGAAATAGGCCCCTGGAGCTTGTGAGCCACATCCAGTTTATATAGTAAACTGGTCATTTTTTAAACATTTATTCCAGGACATTTCGCTGTTTTTCAGATCCCGATGGCAGAGCTACATCACAGATTTCCAGGTTTTCACACCATAACCACACCAGCAGTTCATGTACCTTGTAACCGCACTACGATGGGGATCTTGAGGTCCAGGTCTCTCACAGCCATGATGATGCCCTGGGCGATGATGTCACACCTCATGATGCCTCCAAAGATGTTGACGAGGATGGCCTGCACCTGAGCGACATCACAATGACACGCAGGATTACAAGCAAACATCAAACCAAACACACACAGAGCTGTGCTGCCCAGTGCTTTGCAGAAGAGCTTCTGGCTGCAGCCTCATAGTTGGTAAATAAGTGCGTGTATTTACTGTATGTATTTGTCAAATGATCTTACCTTTCTGTCGGAGGTGATGAGTTTGAAGGCCTCGGTCACCTGATGAGCTGTGGCGCCTCCTCCAACATCAAGGAAGTTGGCTGGCGTGCCACCATGGAGCTTGATGATGTCCATGGTGGCCATGGCCAGACCTGCTCCGTTCACTGCACAGAACAAAATCTGGTCAGTGATGACGCCTTGTAAAATGACTGACATACAGATTTTTCTATTTGTTTTAAAAAACATAACCAGGCCACACAAGTCTGAGAAAAGAGGAACCTTAATCACATTTCCCATAATCCAAAAGAGGATTATGGGAAATGTGGGTCCAGTGCCCTTCAGTTCTACTAGGGACTAAAACTCAGGATGTCTCTGTTGCTTCAATTGAGACCATCCATTTTTAAAATCTGTCTCTTGCTAAGCCCCAAAACGTTGTGACAGTTTAATACTAAATTTCTGAATTGCCCTTTAATTATAAAGAACACCTGGGGGAGAAAGAGAACGTTTCCCCCACACTTCCTCTCTGAGAACGAGATATTTGTCACAGATGGTGGAAACAGTGCTCTTCACCGGTCTCATCTTCTTCAAGGGGTTTTCCCATCAAGCCATGCCGTTGCTGAGCCAGTGTTTTTCCCACTGCACCGCACACCGAGGTAAAGCAGTTTACCTTGGTGACATGTTGGAGGTGTGCAGGTCGAAACCACAGTAACAGCCTGACGCCTGCACTGCTCATACTGTGTCTCCCCACAATGTTGAAACTGATCAGCTACAGCAGAGTATGTCCATGATCAGGCCTGTTTTACCTGAAGAATAGCAAGGCTAATGCAACTCTAACTGGTTACAATTTCTTCAGCTTTTATTATGAAGTAGCA